AGTAAAGGAAACCTGACAGTAGAAAAGCTACCATACCTTAAAAGTCTCCTTAACAAGTTCATTTAAAGATAAGATGTTTCTCTGAGATGCCAGCTTTAAACACTCAGCTTAATGTACTAAGGAAAAAGAGAGTTCTCTTCTCATGCTTTATGAAACCCTGGAGCCAAATTACACCTTAGTGCTACTTGTTCTACCCCCATGCCCTCAGACTACAGTCTCAATGAAACTCTATTACAGAATCAAATTAAAAAGTAAAATCCAGTGATTCAAACAAATCTCAGTTTACTCATATACAATAAAACCAGAAAATGCCTATTCACATTTCCACAAACAATCGTAACATACTTGTCATAAACCAAAAACATGTCATTCCCTTTTTGCTTTGCTACTCAGGTCAGCTGGGGGATCACAAAAGCTATAACCTTTGCAGACAAGTCAGTGGAATATTGATTTGTCTCTGCTCCAGCTTATTCAGAAAGTGTCCTATTGATTTTGAAAGAATTATTTGTGGACTACTAGGCATGAGAAGAAAAACAAAATGAATGTCCTGATTGCTTAGTGGGGCTCCATGCTAGGCTGCACGTGAATCCATCTTGCATACACATTCAAAACTGACAACCAGGTTCACATGTTATGTATTACAGCAAATACTGTTGCAAAAGCGCAAGCAGAAAACTGGCAGAAGACATAATCTACAAATGTAAAACATGGTTTGACCATCTCTACACAACCAGACAGCCAACTATCACTACATATAGCAACTTCTGCAGAAGACTGTTTTATACTAAACCTGTAGTAAAAAAAGCTCTTATAACATGTAACAATCCAATCTGATACATGCAAATTAAAAAAAATTGATATAAACAATCCAGTTTGGGAGGGAAAGGTTGTGTTGGTTTATCTGTTTTTCAATAAAATCTATTTGTTCACATTTTTAATCTGCAAACATACCAATCTTTACCACTGTGTCCATTTTTCTAAATTTTGTCCTTGTCCCCAGCCCAGAACCAATCAACTTCTACTCCTGAACTTCACAAACTCTTCTTCAGATGGGTGCTGACTGCATGCTGGTTGTGCTGATTCACTTGCTCCAACGCTTGCAACACGATTTCTGTTCACTTGTTTGTCACTGACCTGACTACTGTGTTTGGTCAACAAATCTGTATTAGAATAACTTGTTTCGCATGACTGTTATCTCTCCTGCTAGAATGGAAGTGTTCTGCAAATGAGTGATGTCTCAATCCAAGTAATATTTCTTTTCAGATATATGTACTATATCATCCCCTTCATCACTCCCACTGAAATTCACCTCCCCCGCAAGCAAACACTGCCTAACACAGATATTTCCTTTAACTAAAAAGAAAAGGCCTGAAGAAAAATTACATCTCACATGGGAAATGTTCCCCAATGAGGTATTATTCAATTAGCCACCAGTCAGGTTTTACTCACAGAAGAACGTATCCAATCCTATTTTTCTCTCAGGAGGGATGTAAGGTCTTCAGAAAGGCAGAGGATGTGATGGAGAGGAGACTTATGGGTTGGGCTAAAATTATGCCCCAAAAGAGGACAGCCTCAGCAATCTAGTGAAATCTTTTTCCCTCTTCCCCCTGAACTGAAAGCAGCCGCTGACCTAGACTATTAGGAATTGGATAAGACTCATCACAAAAGGAGGAAATGGTTGTACAAAATGAAATGAGAGTCTCACAAAAAGTTTAGTCCCTAGAAAAGTTATTAGGCCATAGCCCATAGTGGTATGCAAAGACAGGGGAGGAAGCTTGCTGATTCAGCTTTTACTGCACAATGCACAAATTTAGTCCATGCATTTAGGAAGCACTCTGCAATCGCTGCCCAGAAAGCAACCATCACATAGAAGCCTTGGTATATGGTTTAAAAATTTATTTTAAATACACTGGGTAAACACAACTGAGAAACAACAGATAAAATCAAGCTGAGGGGTTGGGAGATGGACAGATGCTGCAATAGGACCGACTCTGTTATCAGATACTTACAAATTAAATTCCTTTGTAAGGAGAATAACAAACCTTAATAAAGGATAGTATTTTGGAAGAAAAAGTTTACTTCTGTGGTTTTATAAAAGGTGCTTCCATCATGTTTGTGTCCATGAAAATGAACAGATTATTAAATCTGGTAGTTTGCCTAATATCTCATGCTTTGAGAATAATCTCTCCCTTTCAGTCACAGTATTTTATTTGGTCATCTGTAGCCGTTAAATCCCTGAGTGTCTGCCTTACAGAAATACTGGCCTGCCTTGTAATCATTTTTCTTTCTCCATTTTTCAGTTAAATGGTTACACAGTTAAAATGTTTATATGACAGAGATTATTACAGTATGTCAATTTGCATGTATTTTTCTTGAATGAATAATGTCTCACATCAACAAAACTATTATTAAAACAAGCATTTCTTCATTTTATCTCCTTGTACCTTTCTGTTACTAAACGAAATCAAGTTGGGGATCATGCAAAAATATGAAAATATCCTACATAGGGCAAGCAACAATAAAACTCAGTGCCAGAGAGCCAAAACCCTATCATTTACTGTCTTTCCAACACTATTCACTGCTCTTTAATTCCATTTGATCTGCACTGTACCTTCTCAGACACATGGATAAGGATATCACACACAGCTAGAAACAAGCAGCAGCATTCAAACTCAGAAGGACAATCTCATGAAAAGAATATCTTTCCTAAGTTTGTCCACATGGCATGGGATAAATTCCAAAACAAATGTCCCTGTAGCACATCCACAAAAATATCCCCTTCCTCAGCCTACCCCTCTTCTCCTAGGAGTACACTAGTTATCCAAAACAGATTTCGACAGTTCCAGTTAGCTCTAACGTCATGCAGAAGCCTTTAGAGGATCACAAACCTCTCCAGAGACCACACTGTTCAAAGGTACATGAACAAAGGCTCTTTCAGCTTTGGCCTGTTGTGTACACATACCAGAAAGTACTTTTGCTATTGAGGCTGCTGGGACAAGCAATCAAAGGCAACCAACTGAGGAAGAAGCAGAGGAAAAGAGCTGCACATGTATTCAAAATGAATTATACCAGATAGGTAAGAGAAATGGACTCTAGAAAATCCTGTGAGAGGTAGGATTATTTCCAAAGACAGATTTAGAGGTTACTGTCTCACCTAAAGTGCCCTTTCAGCAAGTTTTGAACACGGAAATCTCAATAAATAACACTATCTCCCCATTCTATGTTGTCCAGTGATACTTCTGCATATCTGATTAGTTACAGAAGAGCTTGATACACAAGGCTTTCAGAAAGAAAGATAACATTTTTTGACAATTTCTTTTGACAATCCAGCACACTAGCTTAAGATCAACATTACAGCAACACTGCACCACTAACTCTTTCAGTTTTATGCCTTACGCAAAACTTAGTGTTTCTTTAGAGCTGTTTATGAAAAGAATCACATGTAATTATATACAAAGACTATATAACAAATGTAATAATTTTTAAATGGTTAAGTTCTTCCTCACACAATTTAGTATTATTTTTATTCTCTCTCTCTCTCTCAAATTTCACGAAGTATGCTGCCTGAACAACAGATTTGTTCCAGATGAAGAGTCACTATAGCAACCTGTTTGCAAAAAAAAAACATTCACCTGTTTTTGTTAAGTGGAAAAACATGAGGGTGAAAATACAACCATATTATTTTTGTCCTGCTGATGACCTAGGTTTCTCACAGTTGTTATTTTTACAGGAATCCCATACTAAGTAAACTAGCAGCATAATACCTTTGCAAGACATCAAGATCCGCTTTATGAATTAGAATTTTATATGGTCTGTCAAATTTAAACTCTAAACTTTTTTTTTTATTGTTGACTGAAATATGTTCCTTTTAAGCAGATGGTCACTAACAGTGAACCACTTTGAACTTGATTGTAACGAAGTGTATGGTTGTAACGTTAGCCTAAACACTACATTCACAAAGACCTTACAAAGGGGAACAGAAGGATGGAATAAAATACAAATTATAATAAATCAAAAAAAATCAAGAATTACTCTGAGAAACTATTTCAGGCAAAGGGAAGAAGAAATAACAATTCATGGTCTGCATGAACGATTACCTTTGACAGAGGAAAGGAAGGTGCACAAACACACCAGCCCTGGCACTGAGGGGTTTTCTGCCCTCGGCCCACACCTTATTGACTTATTGCAGCCTGCAGTGCCTTGTTTTACACTCAAAGAGTCCAGAAAACAGCAGTAACTAAAAAGGTCATGAAGTGGTGTTATTTTACTACTTCATTTTGTGGTTTTTGACATTTTCCTATGTTCCTGAATCAAGTGTGTGATGGCCTTGATCTTTGCAGTTTCTTTAAGTGTGGCCACCTGCTCGCTGGGTTGCATATGACTGCACCCACACGCCAAGCAGGAAAAGTGCCAACCTGCCCCTGCCTGCCACTTTTCTTCCATACTCCTCTCCTGCTCCCCTCACCTTCTGCATGCACTCTCACGGCAAAGGGGAAGGAGAAAAAAGTTGGAGAAGACACGTGACTAGTAAGTGAGAACAAGTAAAGAGTCTGAGCAGACAGCAAGCAACTAATAATGCAAGAGGGCAAATACAGTGAGGGGAAAAAAGGACAAGTTAGTCGCAGAGTGAAAAAGGAGGATAGGCTTTGCTCACATGAGCATGACCTGGCACCATCATTCTTTATGTGTTAGGAAAACAAAAATTTGGAGATTTTCTTACAGTTAAAATAGTTTTATCTGCTTCACTCCAGATACTAAGCTCCGTATTATCTGCCTGTTTCTGAGCACAGAATAGCTCATGACATTTAGTGCTGCTACAGGGCAACATTGTTTGCAAGTAAATGAAGAAAAATCAGGTCACACAGAGTAACCTGATAACGCAGAACAACCCCCTGATGGGAAAGCAACAGCCCAAGCACAGGATTGATAATAATCTACCTCAAAGAGAGGACCACACTGTGGGAAGAGCATGACACAGGCAGAAGCAGGTGAAAACTCACCACTGGAACAGTTGGGTCCTCCCCAGCCAGGCTCACACTGACAGGTGTTTGGAGCAATACAACGACCGTGGACACATTTATCAGCACAATGAGCTGTCAGAAAAGGAAATTAAAAAAAAAAAGTATTAAAGAAGAACTCCTAACTCAAGGAAAAGTACCCTAAACTTATTCCTAATCCATACCTTTCATGCCTCAAATAACTTTTAAAAGCAAAAAAAAACCCATTAGTGTATTAATGCTTGATGGCAACTCTTCCAAATAAATTTTCTTATTTCACTCTCTTCTATTTCTCCTAAGTCTGAAGGCCCCAAGTAAAACCATGTTGGCACTACTCAAATACATTTGCATTTAACAAAGAGAAAATTGACCACATCTAATGAAAAAAGAATCACAGTATGACATAGATTGGAAATCCATCTGAATATGGTCCTGGGCAAGATGCTCTAAGTGACCCTGCCTGAGCAGGGAAGTTGGACAAGATGACTTCCATAGGTCCCTTTCGACCTCAACCATCCTGTGGTTATCTGGAGCAAACTCTTACGCCAAGAGGGGAACTTCTGCACACATGAAAAGAGGGGTTCTCTTGCAAGAACATGGATAAAATACAATTTGCAACACATCGGTATTCTAATACTGATTTTTCTGAATGGTTGCACAATTCAAACGAAGCACAACAAAACAATGATAATGATTAAGGTAAGGCATGAAATATAAACTCTGTGATTCATTGCAACCTTTATTCTAAGTGCTATGCAGAGCTGCTTGAAATTTTTCTTTATCTTTTTTTTTAATGATTGGTGAGTATGTGTTTCACAGTTAAGGCTTATTTTGAAATACAGCTTTTATTTGAAACTTTTAAGAAAAATTTGAAATGGTTGCAATACCCATCACAACAATGTAACTGACTCAGAATACAATACACTGAAGAAGAAGAATCTGCAACCAGCTACAGTTTGTTGGCACCATACTCACCACAAAATACCCTTAACTTTCCAAAATATATACACTGTAATACTTTTCTTCTAGTTTGAGCAACAATAAAACTTAAAAACTGTGCGCAGGATGAGAATTTTCTTCGTACCAACATTTCCAAAGAAACTACAACAGGAATCTGATTGGTATACCAATGAATACAAGGTGAGCTGTGGGAAAAAGACAAAGTTGGTGGGACTACACATGAATCATTTTGGTTCTGAATGGACTGAAAATGCTCTACAGTAATTAGGAAAAATACGTGCAAAATGTCCTTTTTTTTTCCTAATTAAATGTGATGAAGCATGTTGGTTATCTTTATATTTTGTGTGGCCAAGAAAAAGGAAAGCCACACAGAGATCAATCATATATATTATTAAAATCTTTGGTTTCCTGGGATCCTAGCCATTAGTGGCATATTGTTACAGCCTTTAATTTTCATTCTCAACTTTTACTTCTAATAAGCTACTTTTCAGATATGCATTAAAATTATCTTCATTGGAAACCAACTGGGAGAAATCAACTGGGAGAATATGGATTTTTAAATGTTAGCTGATACGAGATACTAATACAAAGCTATTTCAATGTTCTCTATTTATTTAGTACGAAAAGAATTACTTTAATTTATACATCAGAGTTTTCCATCAGTCTTATAACTTTAAATTAATTACTTGTATCTTTGAAGATTCTAGCCTAATAAGTACTGCCTTGGGCACTAAAGCTCTCCCTAAACCAAATGTGTGAAAAATCTTACCAGCAAACCGTAAGACAATAGACGGTAGCTGTAAAAATACATGTCTCTGCATGATCACATGCACGAATAACTTAGTGAATACCAACATACTCAGCCCAAACTCCTGAGCTCTAAGTCTAAATACAATAAACTGACATTCCATCATATACTCTAAGAGACAGATGGAAAAAAATACAAAAATCAAAATGTTGTAAGAACATGGCCCCAGCGAGAGGTACAGAAGAAGCTCTTTGAGCATCTCCTTGTGCTGCCCCTCACACCATGCTGAGCACATAGGTCCTTCCTACAATCCCTATGTAACAGCACATGGTATGGTGCTGTGCAAATAATCATCAATTACTTCCAATAAAAAAACCAGAGTTGTCTTAGAACATACAATAGATGAAACTTTGGGTCAGAGTGTTTATAATGCAGAGGCATCTCACAAATTAGAGCTGTATTCCCTTCTCAGCCACAACAGCATAAATCAACAGTAGCTTCTCTTCAGCCACTGAAGTGGTGTTCCAGTTTTCCAGTAATAGAATGTAAATCAAATACAACTCTCCAAATCAGGGTAACTACTAAGTCTCTGTAGAAGTTGTCTATAAGTAACAATGTCGGTGGTTTTGACAGCCAAAACTCTGCTGACTCTAATGATGAGGAAATACGGGATAAGGACCACTGCAAGGAAGTTGTATAATATAAATATTGCTGCTTCCAAATAAATTGAATGGAGATCAATTAAAATTATGTGTGTGTGTTTATATACATATATGGCAAATACACAAATTTCTTTCTTAAACAAGGGGTACATAAAATTCTTTACTTTAAAGAAGCTAAACTAAAGCCAAGAATGTTTCAAAAACTGTTCAAGATACACAAAAGAATTAAAAGATATCCAGTATTTCCTTTTTTTTAAAAAAAAAAAAAGTTTCTTACTGCCCCAAAACATATATGATCAAAGAATGATTTCTTTCTACATTCTGGATATACATCAAAACCTATTTTGTAACTAAATTAATAATAAATTATTCTCTAGGCACCTTATGGGCTAACTGATACTTGGCAAGTGAATCCTAGTTAACATCCCTAAGGGGCAGCATCTGTAAAAAAAATTATTGCACTGAACATGGGGATAAGAGAATGAAAATTTACTACATGACCTACAAAAAAAGTGTAAGGTGAAGACACCATGAAAAGCACTAGAACAAGCTGAAAAGACATGAATGACATCAGGGACAGAAACTATTTTCTCTTGGTTTTCTATGGAATTGTTGGACATGATATATGAAAATACTTATGTGCAAGAGCAGGTCAAAAACTTAACATGAATTCTTTTTGATACTGAGTAGTGTAAAGAAGCACCAAAAATTCACTGACAGCAGTAAATTGCATAAGTCATATCTTTTCTTTTGTAAGGGAAAAAATAATTACCATATGAAAAGCAATCTGAACCTACTCTTGCGTTATTTCCTTTTACATCTTATTTCCCCTTTTCTTCTGAGTCTTATTGCTTTCTTCAAAGTCTTCTCTAAAATCTTCCCTCATCCAACTTACAGATCTATTTCAGTGGATTATATGATTATATCCTTTCATTTTCTTAAAAAATAAAAGGTAGATTTGCTCTTTCTGATTATAGAGTATCAGCCAGCTTGAAGCATCTATAAAATATCTGCTGCTATGTGTGTAATTCCCTGTAGCAGCCCTTTCTGCACCACGGGAGGAGCTGCCCTGTCCCCTGGACACAAGTCCACCAGGCCACTTGAGTTCTGTTCCCACCTCAGTTGTAGGCACTGGTACTTCTGTAACCAGCTGAATGAACACGCCCTGCTGAGGCAGTTCAGCAAAGTGAATCAATGTGAAAAGACATATGTAACCCACCCAGGCCATCGACACCATTATTACAGCAAGCTGAAAGCGATGTAAGGCAAGGGCTTGGCCTTAGCACCACAGCCTTGGGAGGGGAGCTCATACCAGGGAAATTAAGCCAGTCATGCTAGAGGCATAGAATGTACCACACATTTTTAGGTCAAGTTGCCACTTTCAAACACTGATCACATTGTCTCATATGATATCAATGAAGAAAGGAATATGGTGCTCCAGCTCAAGAGAAGGTTGCAATTCAAATGCCTACTTATATGCTGATGGGCTCCAACACACCTTCTGCAGTGCAAACACAGATTGCTTCTCCATTGCTATAGCTACTTAAAGTATTACAGCTGAGTGGAGTAACTTCTTTGCCTTATACAACGTCCACTTCCACTTTTGAAATAGAGCACATGAGAGGAGTGGAACATTGTAAGACTTGAAATTTCTGAATGGCATTTTATGAATCCACTCTCTGAGATTAAGAAAGTGACACAAAGTTATTTCATTGTAAGTCACCATAGACAACATTTAGACAGTTGTGTGTTGCATTATCTGATGTTAAAACAAGATATAGAAGAATTTAGCCTTATAAAATTTGAAAAAAAAAGATATTTTTATCTTTAATGAAAGTTTAGGATCTGTTGATTTTTCATTTCGAAAAGCCAGACATAAATCAATTAACATAAAAAAAGCTTGAAATATTTTGCTTGTAATTATGCACAGAAGTAAATAACCAAGAGAATCAACTACATTCCACAATTAAACTTCCACATTTTAAACAAATTAATTACATCATCAAATGAGCAGATACCTGAATTCATATCTGATTTCATGACCCTTCATACCTGAAATCTGTTAAGTAAAATTCCTATCAACTCTACAGAGAATTCGTATTAGGAAGACCGGAGTAATGGCTGAACTGGGCCTGTTTTTGACTTGTAAGTAGATCTCCATATTATTTCTTTCAGGTAAATGACTTCCAACACAAGAAGTCATACTACATCCCGGACTGTACTTCATGTTAAGAATTTCAGCGAATACAACTCTATTGTGATTTGGATACCTAGTCTTTGAAAAGAGAAAATTAAAGAAATACATCCTTCTTTTTTTCACAAAACAAACAAACAAACAAACAAAAAAAAAGCTTCTTCAGCTGTTAAAGTTCTCAACATTTTGTGAATTAAATCTGAATACATAAAACATTTTAGACTTGAAACAGAAAAAAAAACTCTTCTACATATTCCACAAGGTTTAACTTCAATTTCCTCAAAATTAACTAAAATGAGGTACCTCAGCACTTACTGTGCAAAACAAATCCAAATATCTTCTAAACTACATTATAAATGTGGGGTTTTTTTTAAGTAAATTCTTCAGTTCCATACTGTACACTAGAACTTAGAACATATCCCTCGGTTAATCCTTTTTTCCTATGCTTGATGACTAGCTGACTAGCTGCTGTTAAAGTGAGTGATATCCAGTTATGCATTAACATAGATGGTTTATTTTCTATTCCAGGCCT